GACTTCATGAGGCGGTTCAGGATGCGTTGCTCATGAACCGGGAACACTTGCTGGATGATCCCACGGGCCGCCAGCTCAGGGACTGTTGGGAGACAAGAATGGTGACCAGGGCCCTCTGCCTGTGTCTGGCCTGGCCACACCCCTCTGGCTGAAATCCAAGTCACAACTTTTTGCCTGCTCTTAAACCTACAGAGGCTCTTCCCAGGGAAGTTCTGGGTGGTGGAATATCTGATTCTCCTCCAGTATTTGGGAGGTACAGGCAGAAAAGCGTGCAGGAAACCCAGAAGGGTGGGGTCCCAGTGGGGAACCATGTTCTTAAATAAAGCCACTGGCCTGAAGTCATTGCTCTGTGTGTCTGAGGAATGGTGCAAAGTTAGCATCAGAAGGTGAACTTGCAGCTGCTGGTTTCCTGTAGGGAACTGAGGCCCAGGGCCATGCAGCAAGAGTGCTGTATGTGGTCCTATCCCTTCCTTATTCCAGACCCAGAAAAGGTTCTTGCGGATCTGCCACAGGAGGGATAAGCCCCATCCTTTGCTAAGGCCAAGCCCCTTCAGTTCATTCATTGATCTGGCTCTAGGGCCCACCCAACTCTCTGCCGCCCGATTGTTGTACCTAGGCTCCGCCCTCCTGACGTGATAGGCTATCCTCTAAGAGGCCCACCCAAGTACCCACACAGGGAAGGTGGGCCCCGCCCCACTTACTGATTGGCTGGTCCTCCAAGAAACGCAAGTTGTGCAGCGCCTCACCCTGCTTAGCTCGCAGGTTCTGAAGCCAGAAACGAATGATGCTCTGGCGCTCCTGCAGGGGACAGGGCGTGAGTACAGCGAGTAACCGCCTGCGGACTAGGGATGTGCAGGATGTGCAGGATGTGAGCTGGGGGGCCAAGCCGGCGCACCTGGGAGGTGAAGAAGCGTAGCTCACTCTCCACATTCTCATAGATAAAGTCCTCCTCGCAGGAGAAGCCTCGGGTACCCCCGCCAAACTCGGCCTTCACTGCTTTACGCAGACCCAGCTCGTCGGCCCCTCGGAGTAGGCTGCGGGAAGGCAGGAGAGGTGGATTATGGATGGGGAGACCCTGGCTCACCATCCTGGAGCTAGGGATAGTGCACTTGGCGGCCGCCTGAGTCAAACACAGAGCGGCTGGACCTTGTAGTTGGTACTTGCAAGGGAGGGGAGCTGGGTGGCAGGGTCAGCGAGAGAGGCCAGGCCCAGGGACTCGCCTCTCATATGTAGCAGTGACGAAGAAGGCATAGGCACGCGTGTGGCGGTGGTGGCGAACTTGTACTATGAGCTCAGGAATGCCCACGCGGATGTGGTTCAGCAGCCATAGCAGCGTGTGGTCATCCGTCGTATCTGCTAAGGGGCGCAGGGACTGATGACTCTTGCCAGGATGGGTCCGAGGCCTCTTACAGCCGCCCACTCAGGGGAGTCCAACTCAGGGGAGCCCCGTCTGAGCACTGTGCGGTGGGCACAGATACCTGGGAAGGTCATCAGCACGTCGCAGTTCTCTGTGGGCACTGTCTTCATCCATGCCTTGTGGGACACCAGGTATCGACCCGCTTGCAAAAGCCGCTTTCCAAAAAGCTTTTCTGGGGGGCAGGAGGGCCAGGCCGGGGTCAGGCCACTTCCTGACTAGGAGCCTGGCCTCTAGCCCTTGCCCCTGCTCACACACTCGCCAAGGCTCCTAGGAACGCAGCCTGGCTTTCAAGGCCCTGCATGCTCTGGCCTTGGCTTGTTCCCTTGCCTTCAGGTCCTCGCACCAATGGAACCCTCCTCCAGGAATATCCTTCCCCCAGGCCCTCTTACAGTTTTATTCATTCTGGAGGCCCATCTCCACCTCCAAAACCACAATTGATGGGACACTGACAGCCCTGAGTCCTCGTAGCTGGATGTGGTTCTTACCCCCATTTCACAGGTGGGGGAAACTTAGGTCCAAAGCATTTAAGTCATACGCCCAAGGTCACACAATGAAGCTGGGGTTCGAACCCACAACTGTATGATTCTGTACTCTTTGTGGAGAGGAACTCTCAAGCACATCACTGCCCGGCCACGATCCGGTAGCCCAAGGGGTGACCGGGCTCGGCCTCGAGTCTGGGCTCTCAGAGGGGCGTGTCCGTGTCTCTGCGCTGAGACCCCCGCCCGCTGCACCTTCCTGACCGCGCCCGCCCGGCCGCAGTCGCAGTGCCATGAGAGCCAGCACTCGATTGGACTCCAGACCGGAGACAGCTGACCCCAATTTCCCTCCCGGTGCAGCCGCCGCGCGCACCCCGAGCACCTGCAACTCTGACTGATGCAGCCGCCGCACACCTACCCAGAACTCCGGACGCCGGGGCTGCAGGCTCGCCCTCTGGCGGGGGCCTCTTGCCGCGCTCGCTCTCGAGGGACGTGCCCCCAGCGCCAGAGGTAGCTTCGGCCATGGCGAGGGCAGGGCAGGTCAGGGACTGCGGACGGCCAGGGCTCCGGGGGCCTGCGGGCGCATGGGGCCGGTGCAGCCGCGGAGCGCGCCAGAGGAGGAGACAAAGGCCGCGCCCGCCCGCGGCGGCCGCCGTCCCCGCGTGCCCGAGTGCTGCTTCTCGTCCCCGCCCGCGCCGAACCTCGAGTCTCCTGCTCGGCCCCGCGCACGTCGCTCTCGGGTTCTCAATTCCGCCCCAAAGGTTTTCTGGGTTTCGTTCTCGCCCGCCCACCTCGCTCTCTGGTGCTCGTTCCCGCCCGCACCGAAGGTGCATTTCCCCTCCTTGTGCCCGCCCGTGCCAGATTCTAGGTCTCGTTTCCGCCAGCCCGGGATTCTCCGCCTGAATTTCCTCATCTGAAAAGGCGTGTTTGGAATCTGATATGGGCGTGATTTGATTACAACAAGAAGTTAAGCGGGGGAGGCCTGGTCTGGGAAGATTCCAGGTATCAATAACTTCAACTACCACAGCAGAAATGTGAATAATTATAGCAGGTCTTGTCTCAGGGCCTTAGCCCATGCCCATGCCCAAGACGTCCTTCACCACCTCTTTCTCCAGTCCACCCGTGCATCCATCAGGATGTACCCTCAGAAAGGACTGGATAGAGTTGCCAGCTTCGCAAATAAAAACACAGTCCTCCCAGTTAGTTAGATATGTTAACCTGAAAATAAAAGGCCTTTCAAGTGAGAAGCAAAAAGCATTTATTTGATATCAATAAAAAAAAAAGCTATTTGGGATGGACTGGTTAGGTCAGAAGCCCAAATAGTGTTGCAAATAGGAAACAAAGACAATGGGTATTTATGAGAAAGAAAAGACAAACAATTACACCGTTAGCAAGAAGGCATTTCTATTCATGCAGGTAACACAACATAGTGATTGTTAATTCTAAATAATGTATTAAAATTTCAGTCCAGCCCTGGCTTGGAGCGGTTGAAGCATCAGCCTGCAGACCAGAGAGTCCCGGGTTCGGTTCCCGCTAGGGGCACATGCCAAAAAATAAAATAAAATAAATAAATAAAAATTATAAAATTTCAGTCCAGTAGTCATAATATCTTTCTTGTTATCTTTACAAACAGTTCTTTAGGAAACAAGTTTGCTTAGACCCAGTTCAAAGGCTGTTTTGCCCCGTTTCAACATTCTAAAGGTTTGAGGCATAAGACATGCAAAGCAGTTCCTCTGGGATGGCAGCTTTCGCTCCATTTTATTTTCATTTGTATTTTTATTTATTTTTGTTTCATTTCTTTGAGGTTTTCTTCTCCATTTTAGAGTGACTCAGTTTACCTTACTTTTTGTTTTACTTTTTTTTTTGAGAGAGAGGACCATCCACCTGTTGTTCCACTTATTTGTGCTTTCATCGGTTGCTTCTTCTATATGCCCTAACCAGAGATGGAACCCCGAAACCTTGGCGTTTGGGGACGACGCTCTAACCTACTGAGTTAACAGGCCAGTGCAGTTTATATTACTTTTTACAAATGTGAATTTCGAATACATTTTTATTATGCCCCAAATGTTACATGGGACACAACGTTATTCATTGTTACCTGAAATCCACATTTAACTGGGAGTCCGGTATTTTGTCAGGCACCCAGACAACTACCCATGCAGAGTTGCTTCCTCCCTTAGCGCCCAGCGAGGGGGCAGGCGCCCATTCTGGTTCTCAGAATGCACACAGTCGACGCTTGATGTATACTTGTGACAGTTGGAGCAACTCGGGGACAGCGAATGCATTGTTCGTCCCTTTTCTATGAATTTAAAAGTTGAACAGGGCTGGGCATGGGAGGAATGAGAACTCTAGTCTGTCTGATTCTTTCCCGAAGGCAGGTGTGCTGCCCGCCCGCTCCGTTCCAGAAACGGAGAATTGGCCGTGCAAAAGCGTCCTCGAGACCCCGCCCAGCCAGTGCCAGGAATTCCACCATCAGCTCTTTATTCTGCTACGATTCAGTGCTCTCCTGGGTTAACCTGAAAGTAATCGCGAGACTCACGTCTCTGGCTTCCGAGGGGTCCACAGACTGACGACATTCAGCTCTGCCGGAGTAGGCCTGGGCCAGGGGAGAGAGAGGTCTGTGCTGGGAGTTCCAGGAGGCGACCTTGGAGCTAGGTCCCGAGGATGAATTTGTCAAGTGAGGAAGGGTATTCGAGGCCGAAGGAGCGGCGGGAAAGCTGGGAAGGGGCGAAAACCTGGAGAGTTCTGGGGAAACAAGTAGGCATCTTCCCAGAAGTTTGGACAAGATTTACCCAGTGCCAGTGAGTTTCCCGGAACTCATCCCCCTGGGCCACAGAGATGCTCTTGCTCCGCCTAAGGCTACGGAATAGCTTGATAGAGAAACGGGACTCGAACTCTCGCCTCTAATTCCTACAGCTCCGTGTCTGCATCCCTCTCACTCCTCATTTCCGGTATCTCGAATCCCGGCAGCTCTCGGATCTAAAAATGCGGTCTAGTGTTGCCAGGGGGAACGCCAATTCGCTGCAACCCCACGTGCAGTCCCTGCCTCTTTTCCAGGCATCAGCCAATAGAAATGAAGATCTTCAGTGGGTGGACGGTACGTCTTTTAAGGGGCCCAATGGTATCGAGAATCCTTGAGCACTTGACACTCTCGCTGCGGAGTGGGCGGGGCCTCCTAGCTGGACTCGAAACCTGGGCTGGGGGGGCAGGCAGGCAGGTCGGCAGGTCGCTGGCTGGGAATCCATGTGGCGGGGGCTCTGGACCCTAGTAGCCCGGGCGGCACGTGGGCCTTGCAGGTGGGATGACCGAGGGGAAGGGGTGTGACAATGGGCGTTGCTTGGGCCCCATATCCTCTCCCTGGGACCTGGGGGTTCCGTTCCCTGCGGCACAGCCACTTTTTTAGTTCTTCCAAGCCCCCATCTAGTCATCTCCCTGCCGCAGAGCCCACATCTAGGTCATCTGGCCTCAGAGTCCTCAGTGCAGTTACCCTGTGGCCTCAGACCCTCCAGTCCCCATCCCCCAGCCGCAGAGCCTACCTTCACTTGGGGCATTTCTCCATCATCGAACCCTCGATCCAACTACCTGCTCTGTGGCGTAGCCTCCAAGATGCACTAACTCTCCTTTCCTGTCCCAGACCGTGCACGCGCCAGGGTAGCGGCGCCCCAGGTCCCGGATCCGGGGCCACCATTTTCGCGCTGAGCTCTGGCCAAGGCCGCTGTGGCATCGCAGTGATCCGGACCAGCGGTCCTGCCAGCGGCCACGCTCTCCGGAGCTTAACGGCGCCCAGGGACTTGCCCCGGGCCCGCAGCGCCTGCCTGCGCCGGCTTATCGACCCCCTCTCTGGGGAACCTTTAGACCGCGCTTTAGTCCTCTGGTTCCCAGGTGAGGATCTCCAGATCCCAATCCTCCTGTAGCTCCCATGACCCAGTAGAACCCCTTCAGACGTTTGCCTTGGCTGTGCCCTCTTGTCTCCTCGCCACACTAGGTCCCCAAAGTTTCACCGGTGAGGACTGTGCAGAGTTCCACGTGCATGGAGGCCCAGCAGTGGTGAGTGGTGTCCTGCAGGCCCTGGGTGAGTCTCCAGTCTTGGGTTAGAGGTCTGGCCCTGCCAGTGGGCCTGGGTGGGGGCCAGGGGCTCAATACCCAGGACCGTCCCACAGGCAGGGTGCCAGGGCTGCGGCCTGCAGAGGCAGGTGAATTCACCAGACGGGCCTTCGCCCACGGGAAGCTGAGCCTGACTGAGGTGGAGGGGCTGGCGGATCTGATCCATGCAGAAACCGAGGCACAGCGAAGGCAGGCCCTGAGGCAGCTGGACGGGGAGCTGGGTGATCTCTGCTGTGGCTGGGCCAAGACCCTCACTAAGGTAAGCCCCATTTGTTCATTCTGTGCCTCGGAGACCCTCTCTTGTCCATCCCCTGCATAAGAGCTTCTGGTTTATGAACATCCAGTCTGACCCCTTAGGTCAGGCTGGACCTGGGCAAATTGGAGTTCTGGGCAATGGGTACCTGGGTAATAACACCACATACCTCCTTCCTCCCCCAGGCTCTGGCCCATGTGGAGGCCTATATCGACTTTGGGGAGGATGACAACCTGGAGGAGGGCATCCTGGAGCGAGGTGTGTTCACCTGGAGGTCGAGGCTGGGAACACCTAGCATCTCAGCCCCCAGAAGTACCCTCAATCCCTCCTGTCTGCTTTCTTCCATTCACAGTTGACAGCCAAGTGCGAGAGCTGGAGGTGGCACTGGACACACATCTTCGAGATGCCAGGCGCGGGCAGAGGCTACGCTCAGGGGCACATGTAGTGGTCACGGGACCCCCCAACGCCGGCAAGAGCAGCCTAGTGAACCTACTCAGTGAGTGGGAGGTGGGCAGGAGATGGGGCCTGAGCTATTCAGGTGTGGGGAAGGGGCCAGGGAGGATAAAATCTCTGTCCATTCAGGGGCTGGAGCTTGGGAGAGAGACCCTTGCTTTCACTGACCTCTGCCCCCTTCCACTTCTAGGCCGGAAGCCAGTGTCCATTGTGTCCCCAGAGCCCGGGACCACCCGCGACGTGCTGGAGACCCCTGTGGACCTGGCCGGGTTCCCAGTGCTCCTGAGCGACACAGCAGGGTTGCGGGAGGGCAAGGGGCCTGTAGAGCAGGAGGGTGTGCGGCGTGCCCGTGAGAGGTTGGTAGGCAGACAAGGTGGTGGGAGAGGGAAACGGGGCCCTTTCTCTCCTGTTGTATTTATTTTCCTTTCTTCCTGAATAAGAAAATTAACTGGGACTCAGTGATTTGGTGAGGGCAGCCCTTAGATTTTAGCCTCTGTCCACATGTTCTGCTCCACTCCTCATGCTCCGCTCCACCCCCAATGCTCTGCTCCGCCCTGACACTCAGCCTGGCCCAGTGCACATAATTGCTCTACTCTGGGGTCATTCCTCAGTTGGTTCTCCCTGTTCCCCCAGGCTGGAGCAGGCTGACCTCATTCTGGCTGTGCTGGATGCCTCTGACCTGGCCTCTCCGTCCAGCTGCAACTTCTTGGACACAGTTGTCACTGCTGCAATGGCTCAGAGCCCCAATGGGAACAGCCAGCGCCTCTTGCTGGTGCTGAACAAGTCTGACCTGCTGCCCCCTGGGGGCCCAGACCTCGGCCCTGAAGTGCCCTCCCACCTACTGCTATCCTGCCTGACTGGGGAGGGGCTGGACAGTCTCCTGGAGGCACTGAGGAAGGAGCTTGCTGCAGTGTGAGCCTCGCCTTGCCTGTCCCACAGCCTCCACCCAAGTTCAAGTGGGGGCTGAGCCATGGCTTTGGGCACATAGCTGCCTGCGGGCTCAGTTTCTATATCTGCAAAATGAGTATTGTCATACCCCCTTTGAGCAATGGTTGCAAAGTTAAGATAGACCATGTTTTTTGTCCCATACAGGTGTGGGGACCCGTTCAGAGGCCCACCTCTTCTGACGCGGGCAAGACATCAGCATCACCTCCAGGGCTGCCTGGACGCCCTTGGCCACTACAAGCAAGCTAAAGATGTAGCCCTGGCGGCCGAGGCACTGCGGATCGCCCGAGGGCACCTGACCTGCCTCACCAGTGGAGGGGGCACGGAGGAGATCCTGGACATCATCTTCCAAGACTTCTGTGTGGGCAAGTGAGGGGAATGCTGAAGCTTGGACCAGGCTGGATGGACGCCCAGAAGCCTTAAGACATCTGGGTATAGCTTAGGCCAAGTGAGGTTCTCATTTCCTTGGGGAAGAACCTGACTGCAAAACAGTGAGTGAGCTCCCTGTTGCTATTGGTGACCAAGCTCTAGCTTGGTCCCTTACAGGGACTTTCTGGGGGTTCAGGCCTTGGAGTGGGGCTGAACAGAGGCCCCTTTGGGCACCTGATCGTGGGTAAGTAGCAGTGAGGGTTGGGTGGGAGGTAGGATCTCAGGGGTCTTTGTTTCATAGTTTTTTATGTATTTTGTAAATACCAAAGGAAAAAAACAGGTGATCTGGAAATGTTTAAATATAGAAATCTTCCCCCGACACTGGTATCACAGTAAAAAACTTGTGAACTTCTAGAACTTTCTTTGAGTGTTTGTATACTTGTGGATGCACCTGTAAAATATGTTTTGTCTTATATATTCTACATACATTGTGTGTTTATTGCTCTGCAAGTTGTCATTCCTCTTTTAGTATTAATCTTGAAACTTTCTCTCTTGTATCTTAAAAGTGACTTGCAAAATCCTGGGGGCCCTACTTCCTTTCCAAGATTAGTCTTCATTGATTAATTCATTTACTCATTTAGTGAATATTTATCAAGTACACTCTATGGTCTAGAATTGTGCACATCATTTTGCTGGATCTTCGAAACAGTACAATGTGGTGGGCAGTCATAAAAATGAGGAAACAGATTCAGAGTAGTGGTTGGTGGAGGTCCCCAGCTTTGGGATTTGCACAAAGGTCTGTTTGACTCTATTTTGAGTTTACTGTGCAACAGGCCGAGTACACGGTCCTGGGAAAACGCACAGAAGCAAGCGGGCATCGCCTCTCCCCTTGTTAGAGATACAGTGAGGTTGAATGGCTGCTGTGTGAATTTACAATGAGAGGACATGACCTGGTCAGGGACCTGTGGACTGGATGCCCTGTAGAGCAGTGGTGGCATTGGGGCTGGCATCTAAAGGGTGAGAAGGAGCCCTGGCTGGTTTGGCTCAGCGGTTAGAGCGTCGGCCTGTGGTCTGGAGAGACGCGGGTTCGGTTCCCGCTAAGGTCACGTACCTTGGTTGCAGTTTGTCCCCAGCCCTGGTTGGGTCATGTGGGTGGCAGCCACTCAATGTGTCCCTTTCACGTCAACGTTTCTCTCTCTCTCTCTCTCTCTCTCTCCCTCCCACTCTATCTGAACAAAATATCGAAAAATGTCCTCAGGCAAGGATAAAAAAAATGAGTCAATAAAGGGTGAGAAGGAAACTAATTGAGGAAGCTTGTGAGTGTCCCAGGCAAAGAGCACAGCATGTGCAAAGGTACTGAGGTGGGACATCCTGGTATGTTCAAGGAACAACGAGGTGGCCGATGTGGCTGGAGCAGAGGGAATGGGTGGGGGAGAGAAGGGAGGTGAGTTCCAGGAGAGGAAGCGCCTGATAGGCCTTTGATTCTGGGACTTATTTGGGGGTTGCTATTGCAGTCACAAACCAGCAGAGGGTGCCTTGCTCTAACAAAGGAAGTGCCTGGTGGTCCTCCAACAGAGCTTCAGCCCCCTAAGGTCCCAGGGATCCAGGCTTCCACACCCATCTGGCATTTTATGAATGGTCAGCTTCTCATGCCAGAGGTGGAAACTGAATCTCAGATAGGGTCAGGATCTTCTTCAGAATCAGAAAAAGATCTCCACCCGCAGTAGTTGAAGATACAAGCTCTCAGATTCCAGAGGACATGTGAACAGAGGCTGGGAGGTGTCCAGGGCCCACAAAGGGTATGAGAGGATCTTCAGGAGGCTCAGGAGGCTCCCACTACTCAACTAAAAGTGACCTCCAACCCCTTGTCTTCACAGACTTCAATGCAATATGTCACTGTTTATTGATTTCTTTCCTTGTTCAGCAGCTGGGATCACCCCTGAATGAGGCTCCTAGATGGAAAGGGTTACTCTGAGAGCTGAGCCCATGGATATTACTATTATGCCCATTTTGCAGAAAAACAGTTGATGCCCAGAGAAGAAAAGCAATAATGTGGGTCCAGTTTAGATGTCACGCATGGGGAGGGTCTGGAGGGCTCCCATGAAAGGTGAGCAGGGTCCATGTGGGGAGGGAGACGCTCTTGGGGCAGGATGCTTGAGCCCCTGCCTGCTTCCCCCTAGGCCCTGGCACAGGGCTGGACTGAGGCCTTTGGCTACAGTCCCTTTTTTCCAAGAAGGGTGAGGTAGTTTGTGGGAAGCAGCCATGGGGGTTATTTATAGAGGTCACAGGAAATCCCCAAAGAGTCAGAGCCTCACCCAGAGGCTGGACCACAGGGTCAGGGAGGGGGTCTGCCAATTGCTCTTAACTGGTAGTCAGTCCCTGCGCCTCCCCAGAGAGCCACCAAGCCTGGGTGAGTCAGAGCTATAGGATTAGAGCCAGAAAGAGTGAGGGATGGGCTGGAGAAGCCCCAGGGGAAGTAAGAGCTATACCTGGGGCATCTAGGAGGGCTGCCTGGAGGTGGGAGTTCTGGAGCTGGGCCCTGGAGGAAATAGAATTTGTCAGGCAAGAAAAGGCATTCTAGTCTGAGGGCCTAGCACAAATTACGATTAAGAGTCAGTGAGACTGCCTGGCCGGTGTGGCTCACTGGTTGAGCATTGACCCATGCACCAAGAAGTTGCTGGTTCGATTCCCGGGCAGGGCACATGCCCAGGTTGTGGGCCCGATCCCCAGTGTGGGGCATGCAGGAGGCCACCAATCCATGTTCTCTCTCATCGGTGATTCTATTTCTATCTCCCTCTCCCTTTCTTTCTCTCTAAAATCAATAAAGAAAAAATATTTTTTAAAAAAGAGTCAGTGAGTCTAGTCATAGAATTAAATGTCCAGAACAGCTGGAGGGCAGGGCTCATTGCGCATAGGGGAAGGAGCACAAGAGAGCTGAGGAACTGGACTTGGTGCCCAGGGTAATGGGGAGCCATTGAGGGTGTGTGAGGAGAGGATGTGGTCAGATCTCGTGATCAAAGATCCCTCCGGACCAGGCTATAATGGAGGCAGAGGCTGAGAGCTAGAGCTGGGTATGGGGGTGGTTGGAGGGATGACATTCTGGGATGCTCTGGATGGGAGAGACCAACCAAGAGTTACAGACCTGTACCCATGTATCCAAAGAGTTTAGGATGATTGTATCACACTCATTTTTCAGATGAGAAAATGGAGGCTGAGATGGATTGAAGCAAGATTTGAATCAGGGATGTTTGGCTCCAGAACCCAAATTCAGGTATCTTGTGGTTGCTGGGACTGGCTGGCATTAGCAGGCCAGGACTTCAGGCTGCTTAGGCAATAGGCTCAGGGTCACAGAGATGTCCTCGCTTCCTTGGGTCCTCCAGACTGTTCTGTCTGGGCAGCCTGTCCTGGCTAACCCCCCTGACTTGGCGGGGCCCCTAGCCAAGTGTTTCCTGCAGCAGCTGTCTGTCACCCGAATTTCCGAATTTCCAAATTCAGGAAGTATCGTTCTTTGTCCCTCCAGACTTGCCTGCCCTAAGCGTGTTTTGCCAGCCCTAGTTCCTCGTGACTCATCCCCCTCCCTGTCCTCTGTCCCAGGGGATGGGCTGGGAGAGAATCAAGGTCGGAAGTAGGGGTACAAGCTGAGATTCTAGATCACAATTTTTAGGTTGTTTTTCTGTCAGTGGCAATTTCCTTTTTTTCCCTGGAGTTTTTACATTTCAGGGATAAGTCCCCAGGAATGGGGTGACTGAGTCAAGGGGCATCTTTACTTTTATTAAATATCGCCAAACTAATTTCCAGAGGGCTATGATGAGATTTTAATGTCTACCAGTGCTGTAGAAAAATGCCCTTTTCGGACCAAAGAGTCAATTCCAGCCAAGGGCACATACCTTGGTTGTGGTGTGGTCCCTGGCCCTGGTCGGAGTCGTGCGGGAGGCAACCAATCGGTGTTTCTCTCTCTCTGAAGATAAATGGAAAAATGTCTTCGGGTGAGAATTAAAAAAAACAAAGCTTCTTTCCCAGTCTCCTGCGTACACTGATTTCCCTGTGTTTCTCTAATGTGCGCCCCCACCCCCACCTGCTGGGTTATGATCACGGAGTTGAGTGCTCCCAAAGTAGACTGCTGTCCTTTCTGACATCCCATCTTGCCACAAACAACAAAACAAAACAAACGGCCTGAGACTTTTGTAATTTTGTTCCTGGAATAATTTTGGCAGGGAGGAGTTCCTGCAATTCACGGCAGGCTGTGGTACTCTCAGCAATTGTTGTTAAGACTTGGGGGAATCTTTCCAAATCTAGAAAAATTAAAGCTACAAATGGATTATCTGCTTTGTAAGAAACTGATCTGGGAATATCTACTGTTTTAAAGAAAACACAAAATTGATAACAATGCTGTTTCTTCCCACCTGGAGATGCCCAGACCTTAGGGGAAGCTGGTGTACCCCTAGGTTTGTTCTGGGTTGAAGGGTCTTCCGGCCCAGGGTCCTTGGGGTGGGGATTCTCTAGTTTTTATCTTTTTCTAGTCTTTTCTTGCTCAAGGCCAGGTAGTGCCTTTTCAAGGCATAAATCACGACTCTGGCGTCTTTGAAGGGATCGATAACATTTATTTAGTGCCACTAACATTTTATAGGCAGGGCTGGGTATGGGAGGAGAGGGAGTGAAGGAGCAGTGTCCTTGTCAGCTAGGTTTGCCCTTGGACCAGACGCTCCCTGGTGCGAGGAGGCCTGGAAACTCTCCCAGGAATGGTGAGGTGGACGGCTTCCTGTTCTCACTTCCCCAGGCCTGAAGCACTCCAGCCGAGGAAGTGTGGGGGAGATAGGAATCAGAAGCGTGGGTGTCGGGGGCACGGGGAGGGCAGTGAGGGGATGCTGTGGGTGCCTTGGCTTGTGTGTGTAGAGGGTTGAGATATTGGGTGAGGGTCTGGCAGAAGTGTCTGTCAGGCCACCGTGTCTGTATGACATCATTGTCATGTCTCTCTGAGATGTCATCGCAGCATCGGTGGGTGAGGGATTGTGTGGTATGGGTGTGGGCTGTGAGAGGATTAGGGGTTCTGGGTCAGGTATGGGAAAGATGAGCATGGGGTGCAGGCCAAGGGCGCCCACTGGTGTGTTTGCATGGAGGTCGCCTGACTTCATCCCACGCTGTAGGTCTCACTACCACAGGTCTGCGGACAGGAGAGTCAGGACCAGTCCTCAGTCTTCAGCCTGGAGCCTTCTCAGCCACTGGGACAGAACGGAATGGGAATGCAATAGCCGATCAGACAGACAGAATGACACACATTGCTGGGGCCCGCCTCCTCCAACAGCCCCTTGTTGCTGCCAAGAACTCTTTGGCTCCTTTGGGGTTCATCCTCCTCAACAGACTTCTTGCTGAACTTCTTTGGGATGGTGGGACTAAGATGTCTGCCACCTTGTTATAAAGAAGAAAAGTCTGAGGTTCAGAAAGGCCACCTCCTGTGCTCCAGGCCTCTGCTGCAGTCTGTCTGCCTCTCATCTTGACTCCCTAAGGCCCTGGGGATCCTAGGAGTTTGCCCAAAGCTCGAGTCCACACCCATCCCCCACACAGTCCCCAGGAGGGTTTTCCAGTGAGCCCGCCCCTCCTCTCATGTTTTCTCCATTGCTCCCTCGTTCCCTCAGTACCCTCTTGATCTGAATTCAGGGTTCACCCACTATTCTCCAACAGGTCTCCTCTTCAAGGACTCACACCCTGTCACAGTTCCCCCAAATCCCAAGAACTATTATTATCTTGTTTCCACTCCCCCTGCCCCCACCCTTTGCAGGAGCCATCCAGCTGCTATTGGGAATGCCCTTCCCCCTCGGCCTGGCAGAGGTTCTCCTGAGGGGTCAGGGGTTGGCTCAGAGGCTATTTCCTGGTGGGGGAGGAGGGGGCCACAGCTAAGTCCTGCTTCCGCTGGCCCCCTCCCTTCCTTCCCTGGCTCTTCCCTGGGGCCCTAGCCTCACGTTCCTTGGCTGGCTGTGGTCCACACTCCCAATCTCCAGCCTCTGGCACATGCTTCACTCAACTCCTGCCCACCAGTCTGCGAGGGAGGGTTACCCCTTGCCATTTCTCACACACTGAGGCTCTTAAGCCCCCATTGCTAACCTGAACCAGTGGGGTCGCCTTCACACTGATCCTTGGCTCCCACCTGACCAGAGAGTGCCAACACTTGAGTCGGGTCACATCCTCCTCTGCTGACAGCCTGCCCAGGGCTCCCAGTGCCCTTAACCACAGCCACAAAGCCCTGCCTCGTTTGTCCCCTTGTCATCTCCTTGATCTCACCTCTCTCTTCCACTTTGATCATTCAGCTCCAGCCATACCATCCTCCTTACTCAGAGTCACCAGGCACGGTTCTGCCTCAGGACCTTTGAACGGACTGTGCTCTCTGCCTGGTACACCCTTCCCAGCGATGCCCTCCTCCCTCATCTCCTTTAGTTCTCTGCTCAGATGTCACCTCCTCAGGAAGCCTGCCCTGGCCCCCTGTGGAAAATTCTTACTTTCACTCCCTCATTCCTTTTCTGTCTCACTTATCACCAAGGGGCCTTATAAAGACTCATTTGGCCCTGGCCGATTTGGCTCAGCGGTTAGAGCGCCTGCGGTCCAGAGAGACCCAGGTTCGGTTTCCACGAAGGGCACATACCTCGGTTGCAGTTTGTCCCTGGCCCTGGTTGGGTCATGTGGGTCCCTTTCACGTCAATCTCTCTCTCTCTCTCTCTCTCTCTCTCTCTCTCTCTCTCTCCCTCCCTCCCACTCTATCTGAACAAAATATCGAAAAATGTCCTCATGTGAGGATAAAAAAAAAAAAAAAGAATAAAGACTCATTTGTTTGGTTTATTATCTGTCTCCCCATGAGACTATGAGCCCCACAAGGGCATTCGTTTCTGTGTCTTATTCCTGCCTGTGTCCTTGGCACCCAGCAGCGGTTCAAGAAATATGGGCTGAATGAACAAACAAATCATAATTGTGATGGTAGCAAACTTGAGCAATGCCTGCTGTGTGTCTGGCTCAAAGACAGGGCTGAACTCCCATCTTCGACCTTCCACATCATGACTTCTCACCTCCAGCCACAGAGTCCTTAAACCATTATTCACTATATATTGCTCTTCACCTCAATTGTATTTTTTAAAAAATATGTTTTTATTGATTTTTAGAGAGAGAAAGAGAAATATTGATGTGAGAGAGAAACATCAGTGGGCTGCCTCCTGCACATACACACACACACACACCCCCCACCTGGGATCAAGTCTGAAACCCAGACATACTGAGCCATACTGGCTGGGCATTGCTTATGTTTTATTAAATTAGTTAAATTGACCTCCAATGGACACTCAGGTAAAGGAAAGTTTGTGCACTTGACATTAATAGAAAATGACCTAAAAATGTGCAATTAAGAAGCAAGACCTTGCCTTGGTTGGTGTGGCTCAGTTGATTGAGCATTGTCCCATGCATCAAGAGGTCGCCGGTTCGATTCCTGGTTAGGGTACATGCCCGAGTTGTGGGCTTGATCCCCAGTAGGGGATGTGCAGGAAGTTGCAGATCAATTTTTCTCTCTCTCCTTCTCCCTTCTTCTCTCTCTAAAATCAGTAAAAACAGCCTGGCCAGTGTGGCTCAGTGGATTGAGTATTGTCCCATGGACTGAGAGGTCCCGTTTGATTCATCGTCACATGCCCGGGTACTGGGCTCAATCCCTAGTGGGGGGCGTGCAGGAGGCAGCTAATCGATGTTTCTCTCTCATAGTGATGCCTCTCTCTCTCTCTCTCAAAATCAATGAAAATATATTTAAAAAATTTTTTTAAATAAAATAAATAAAAACATATGTAAAAAAAGAAAAGCAAGACCTTGTGCTCAAGTCCTGGTAATGCTGGGCCCCGGGTTTGCTCTCACTTTGTGAACCCGGGAGAACAGCACATGTGTGGGAGCCCTTAGGGCAAATCAGCACCAGTGGAGACTTTCTCCAAGTGCAGAGGAATAAAAGTGGAAAAGAAATCAACTCTCAGATCGTGGGGTGGGTGATTCGATGCTGGACTTCAGACCTGGCCCCTGACTGGACGCATTGAAAATCTGGATGTTATGGCCCAGCCGGTGTGGCTTACTGGTTGAGCATCAACCCATGCACCAAGAGGTCACCGGTTTGATTCCTGGTCAGGGCACATGCCCAGGTTGTGGGCCTGATCCCCAGTGGGAGGCATGCAGGAGGCAGCCAATCGATGTTCTATTTCTCTCTCCCTCTACCTTCCTCTCTCTCTAAAATCAATAAAGAAAAAATATTTTTTAAAAATTTGGATGTTATGATTCTCTGGCCAGAGATTCGCCTGCGGTTACCCACTGAGTGGCTGGCTGAACCGGAACTTGGACCCAGAACTGATAGCCCTGGACTGCTTATCACTGGCCTGTTTATCAAGGGAAGATAGTTAAGGCTGGAGCCCAGTGAGCCATAGGCCCTTCCTGCAGCCCTGCAGAGAGAAGCAGGAGGGGCCCAGGCTTAAGGGCACATTGTTTTCTCAGCAGGGGGACGTCATTTGGGGTAAACAATGTCAAGAGCTTCCCTGTTCTCAGCTGGGACAAGGACAGGCCTGGCTCTGGCCCTAACTTGCTGACGCATGGCCCTGGGCTGATCACTTTCCTGGGGCCTCAGTTCCCTCTCTGAGAAATGGGGATAATAATAGAACCTCCTTCCTTGCCACTATGGCTCCAGGCCAAGATCGAGAAAGGAAAACAGTTTGCTCAGAGAGGCTTCTCCCTACCCTCTTGCTTCCCCCTCTGCAGGCTGCCTGAGGCTGAGGAATTTTGCCCAGGGAGAGAAGGGGACCAGTTCCTCAAGGGAGTGAGCTCCACAGGAGGAGGTACATAAGAAGAGGTGTAGTGGAGATGGAGGTACATGTGGAGAACCCTGAGTTGTTGACAACAGATCTCTGGAAGTCTGGACCCAAGGCCTGCATTTAGCACCCTGAGGTTAGAATAGACCCAGGCGAACAATAGTCTGATGGCAAAGCCATTGAAGGAAGCCATAGGCTTTGGGGTCAAAGGGATCTGACTTAAAATCTTGGGTGCCTCCCTCAACCCCAGGTCCTAAACTGCAAATGCGACTGCCAATCCCTGGGTCCCAGGCCAGTGGTGTGTTGAAGGGGGAGTGTGGCCTCTACACTGGGAGGAGCACAGGGAGTTCTCGGGATGTGTCCTAAGTCACCTTCCCTGTAACATGCAGGGTATCATTGAATAGATAACCAGGTCCTGAGAGGCAGTGAGCAGGGCAGAGGCATGAAGCCATGATGTGAGCTGAGCAAGTGCCAGGTGCCCTTGAGGCTCCCCACTAAGGCCCCCAGCCTCTTGCTTCAGCCATTGCTGGACAGCACTTTGCAGTTGGCAAAGCATTTCCATACCCTTGATTTAGAGGCCCCCATTTTTGTAGAAGCAGAAAGTGAAGGGTGGAGCCAGAGGCCCAGGGTCACTCTCAGATGCTGCTCTCCCTCCTTCCCTTCCTCCACTCCAGCCACCCACCCCTCCCTAGTTCAGGCCACTGGGCCTTTACCCTGGCTGTTCATACTGCCTAGAACACGGTTCCATCTGCCCTCCCCAGGCCTGCTTCTGCCCATCCTCCTGCCCTGCTCACTGAGGCTCTCCCTTGCCTATCTGAAGTCTGATCACCTGGGTTTAAGTCCCACTTTGTTCCTCTCTAGCTGTGTTACCAGGAGCATGATGCATACCCTCTCTGTGCCTCACTCTTCAACTGGAAAGTGGAAATAACAGTAGCTTATCAACCGATAGGCTGAATGAATTAACAGTGCAGAGTGCTTAGAACTGTGCCAAGCTCACACTAAGCACCTAATAATTGTAGGCCCTTGCTCACTCTTATTATGGCTCCATCACTCTCTATCTTGCCCACTACTCAGGGAGTTTTGTGAATGGAACTGCTTGGTCACAAGCGTAGGACCTGGTACACAGCAGGCATTCAATTAAGGAAGAAGCAAGTGTTAGATGAGCCTCCCTCCATCCCTAGTCCTGAGACCAAAGCACTGACACTGAACATCTCAACCTGCCCAGTACCTCACCTGGATGGGGCTACGTTGCCTACAGGGATCCGCTGGGACTCCAAGATCCTCTTCTTGAATTCTTCCAGGCTAGCTGGGTCTGCCAAGAGAGGGGATCAGTCCCAAACTGTTGCCTTAGTAGTCCCTTCCCCTGGGCTAGGGATAGGTGGCAGCCCCCCTTCCTGGCTCTGCCCTCACTCACCGATGGGCTGGAGGTTGGGGGCAGGGCCAGCAGGTCTTGGCACAGGCATCGGCTGAGACTGTGAGAAGAAGGATAGAAGGAAGATGGCATAAGCTGGGACCCTGAACTAGAGTTCCAGGGAGATTCCTGCCCTTCCATGCCCTTGGAGACCTGGCTCTGAGGTCCTTCCAGGGTGGAGAAATGGACAGGTACTCATGAAGGACACATGTGCTAATGAATGTACAATCACCACCTGTGCCCACTTGCCTTCAAATGACTTGAGACTCCAGGGACTGGCTTTGCTTAGTAACGTCCCAGAAACCCCACTCTGCAGGGCTGGCCTGTCTCAGTCTCCATTACAGCCTCAGTGCCAACCTGGCCCCAATCCATGATCCCCACTGACTCCATCCACCCAACTCAGGCGGAAATCGACCCACTCTGTAAACCACTGGACCCCAATTCTCAATGCCATGCCTCAAACAACCTTGAGCCAATCCCCCCAAACCTGAAATCTGAAACTAGTTCTGAATTCAATTACTTAAAATCCAATCCCAGCATGAAAATGGAGCCTTCCTTATACTCAAACTCCAACCTAAACCCAGTCCCAACGACAAACCTGAGCTGATATAGCTTAGATTTAATTCTGACCCCAACCCATTACCTAGACCCAGCCCCTATGAGAAATCCATCCCCCAACCTCATTCTCCCAGCCCCAGCCCTGGGATCCACCATGGACACCTACAAACACCTTCCCAAGGTAACACTCAACATTAGACCCCCAAGCCTCTACCTGAAACAGAACTCCAACCTAGCTCCACCCCGAGATCAGCATCCACACAACTTCTACTCTAGATCCAGCTTTGAGCCCCACCCCAACCCCAATATATCCCCATTCTAATCTGGGGTCACCTAATCCTTCACCTCAAATATATTCCAGTGCCAGCCCAACTCAACTCCCTACTAGCCACCCTAAACCCAACCCAATTTCAACTCCTAATCCATGGTCAATGCCAATCCCTGCCCCTCCTAATGCTCATGAAATCCTAAACCCACTCTTGGTCCCAAATTTCTGATCATCTCTACACCCACCTGAGCATCAACTACAACTTTAGTACTTCAACCCAGTACCAAAGCCACTGACATCCTAGATTCACTCCTCACCCAACCCTAGACTCAACAGCTGCCCTCCATGCAACCCCTAACCCAAGTTTTAACCTTTTCTCATAATATAAACTCCAAATTCAATCCCAATTCTAAGACTAATGAGATGGAACCCTAACCTTAACCCGAAGAATTAGTTAGACATGGTGGTCACCAAGGACTCACCTCGATCCAACTCAAACACAAATTCAACATCCATATCAAGCCTTCCCCTAGACCTGCCTTAACCCTCACTATAATCCCAGTGTCACTCACAACCCTCACCCATTGCCCCCTGATCCTTCAACTCAACTCAAACAATTCCCAGTCCTGATACCAACCCTCAATGAATCTCTAATTTTTACCCTAAACTAATTTTGAGGCCCATCCAGCTACCCTAAACTCAACCCCAATTCTTAACCCTTTCTCAGTCATTCTCAATTTCAATGTCTACCCCAATCCTAATGCCAATAAATCCCTATATTAATACAAAACCACAATCTTTAAATCAACTCTAGACTCAACAGCCACCTATGTGTGACCCTACCCTAAATTCTAAATCCACCGTTAATGCCTCAACCCAGCCTGATCACAAAGCAACTGATATTCTAGATCCGCCCCTCACTCAACCCTGGACCCAACAGCTACCCTACCTCCAACCTCAGTCTTAATTCTACATTGTTCCCTAGTGTTGATCCCAGTTCAAACTTGGCCCCTATCCTAATGTCAATGAAAATCTCAGGTGAGTTCTAACTCAACCCAAACTCAAACAAACTGCAAACCAAGTTCAACATCACCACCAATTTGGTCTCTAGACCCAACCCCAATGCCATCAGAATCCAGGGCCGCCAGCTCACCTTGGCCTTTATGCAGGTGCTCAGGGCCGCGTTGCTGACAGTCATCTGTATCTTGAGCTGTTCTACTTCTCGCTTCTTCTCCTCCAATTCCTTGGCCAGGTTGTCTCGCTCCTTCCGCAGTGCTGCCTTCTCCTCTAGCACTAGCTGGGTCTGCCTGGCACACTCGGCCTGGAGCTTGGCCTCCCGGGCCTGGGCTTCCTTCTCCACCTTCTCCTTGGCCTCCTGACTGGCCCGCAGGCCCTGCTCAGCCTCCAGCTTCTGGCGTTGGAGTTCTGAGTTCTCGTGGGCCACACGCTGGATGCCAGCCCGCAGGCTCTGGGCCAGGTCCTCCACCTTGGTGCTCATGAGGGTAGGCATTTGCTCACAGATTCTCCTGATGGAGACCAGGTCCAAGCCAATGGGATGGTATGTGTTGTAGTTCAGTGTATCGAGGGTGCGCTGGATAATGGAGTCCCTCCAGAGGTTGCGCAGTTCCATTTCAAACTTGTTCTTGTCCAGTGGGAGGCAGAGGGCCTGCACCTTCTGCAGCTGGTTCTCGGCTAGCTGTCGCTCTTGCCGCTGCTGCTCCCGGGCCTTGCTGCATTCAGCCAGTTGCTCCTCCACCACCCGCTTGCTCAGCCCCAGACCCTCCTTATCTTTGGTGCACATGGCCTTCTCCTTAGCCAATTCCATCTCGAGCATCGTGGTCTTCTGGTTCAGCATGAGTAACAAGCCTATAGGTACAGGATGATAGGACTCAGGAAAGCTGGGGGCTGCCAAGGGACTGGATGGGGAGGCCACCACCCTGGCTCCCCGCTGCCCAGACCACTCACCGTCGCAGCTCTTGTTAGTCTCTCTGAGTTGTTCTTGGCATTGTTTCTCATTCAGGATAATTTCAGCCACGTACCTCTGGCTGTGCATGTAGACCACCTGCCCAGACAGGACATGAGACAGAGCTTAGATGGCCTGTGGGTACCCTGGCCCCAGGGCTTCACAGACCCTCAAGGCTGGGGCCCCAGATCCAGCACCCAGATGGCCTAGTTTGGCCCAGTTCATGAAGGCATGGCTCCTTTACAGGGAAAGCTGGACTGACCTTCAAAAGTTGTTATGGTTCATACACTTTGGCAATAAAAAGTATGGAGGCATCTGACCGGTGTGGCTCAGTGGTTGAGCATCAACCCATGCACCAAGAGGTTGCTGGTTCAATTCCTGGTCAGGACACATACCTGGGTTGTGGGCCCGATCCCCAGTGGGGAGCATGCAGGAGGCGGCCAGTCGAAGTTATCTCTCATCAATGTTTCTCTCTCTCTCCCCCTCTCACTCCCTCTCTCTAAAATCAATAAAGGGAAAAAAATTTTTTTTTAAGGTATGGAGGCACTGACATATGCTACAATGTGGATAAACCTTGAAAACATGATGCTGAGTGACAGAAGTCAGTCATAAAAGGCCATATAGTGTTTGATTCTATTTAGATAAAATGTCTAGGAGAAGCAAATCCATAAGAGACAAAAAGCAAATTCATGTTCCCCAGGGGCTGGGGGAGGGAGAAATGTGGAATGTCTGCTAATGGGAATTGAGTTTCCCTTTAGGGTAATAAAAAATATTCTAAAATTATTTGTGATGATGGTTGCACAAATATGTGAATGTACTAAAAATCATTGAACCAATGGGTCAATTATATGGCACATGAATTAAGTTTTTACGATTCAACAAAGGCCATGCCTTTCAAACTATGGAACAAAACCCTCCACAGAAATATAACAAGTAAAGATATGAAGAATGCAGAGGGTTTGTCTTTCTGCCACTTCTTGTCCTTACTCCTTGTCCTTAGGCAGCTGGGACTGTGCTAATGACCTGTGGTTAGGGGGAGCACAGAAATAGCTTGGAGAGTTTCAGTGATTTCTGCTTTCTTTATTTTTTTAATCCTCACCTGAGAATATTTTTCCATTGGTTTTCAGACAGAGTAGGAGGGAGGGAGGGAGAGAGGGAGAGAGAGAGAGGGAGAGAGAGAGAGGGAGAGAGAGAGAGACATGAATGTGAGAGAGACACATTAATTGGCCGCCTCCCAAAAGACACCAACCAGAGCCGGGGATCAAACTGCAACCGAGGTACATGTCCTTGACCAGAAGCAAACTGGAGACTCTTTGGCCCATGGGCTGACACTCCAGCTGCTGAACCAAACCGGCCAGGGCTGGTGACTTCTGCTTTCAAAAGCCTTAGCCACAGAAGAGGGTCCAAACATGAAATGAGAAAGAAGTATCTTCCAGCCCGGCAGGTGTGGCTCAGTGGACTGAGCGTGGACCCATGCACCAAGAGGTTGCCAGTTTGGTTCCCAGTCAGGACACATGCCCAGGTTGTGGGCTCAATCCCCAGCGGGGGGGCATGCAGGAGGTGGCCAATTGATGTTCTCTCTCATCGATGTTTTCATCTCCCTCTCCTTCTACCTTCCTCTCTCTCTAAAATCAATAAAGAAAAACAGAAAGAAGTATCTTCCAGTTAGAACAGTTGTCAAAAGGGGGCCCCAGGATGTCTGACCACATCGCAGATCAGGGTCCTGACACCTTGACACAGGTGACAGTGGGGCAGAACCTAAAAAATCACTGAGTTTAATTTTCCTTTCTCTGCTAGGGACTCAAGATAAGAAATGCAGTTGCATTTGCAGAAAATGTAAAAAAAAAAGCATGTTTCTTAGCACTGCCAGAACCGGGGAAAGACCAAGATTCCTATCTGCTAGCATCAGACTGGGGCTGCGGGAGCAGTGGCCGGGGTGGGTCCGGGGCTGCCCCGCCGCCATCAGCAACCCCTCCGGGAGTGGGGGGCATGGGGTCCAGGATCCCCTACCAGAAATCCTGAGGGGTTCCAGCCCAGAGGAATTTGTCAACTCAAAGGGGAAAAAAGCATGATTTTCAAATTTTAAAGTTGTGAAGATCTAGATTCTTAGATTTCTAATCCTCTATGCCAGGGAGTCAGGATTCTGAGATACCTGTGAGTGCCTGAGTTGATGATCCTGATTCCCTCCTAATGGCTCCTGGGCTAGATGATAGGGTGTGTCCTGGAGCATCTGATCTGGCTAGTTCCCAGGAAGTGAGACTACTGAGGGGGCCCACGCCAGCCTGGGGAGGGGCTTGAGGGGGTACACAGCCCTGCCCTGGGAATCTGAGGGGGATAACTCCCCTTCTGGGGGTCTGAAGGGGGACCCACCCTGCTCTGGGGCCTAAGAAGGAGCTACCCTGCTCTGGGAGTATGAGGGGAGCCAGCCGCCATTTGGCAATCTGAAGGACACATGCCCTGCCCTGGACCATGCGGAGACATGTCCTTCCTGGGGTGGATCTGAGGGGGTCCTCTCTGTCCAGTGAGGAAGGTTGGGTGGTCTGAGGATCCATCGGAGGCTCATCCTTCCCCCTGCCTCCCACCCCAGCCAGCCAGAACCCCTCCTGTGGGAAAATGCAAGGCTGCCGCCACCCAGCCTCTCCCCCGATCTCTGCTGAGGCCCAAGGGGAGCCCCCTCCTCAGTGTCTCTGGCACCAAGACCTCCACAGACAAAGTGAGTGTGTGGCGTGTGTGTGAACACAGGCAGTTGCCCAGTGAATTTGACATGAGTGCAAGGGGGTGGCAGTCTCCACGAGACCCCCACGTGTGCCGCTGTGACTTTCTCTGGGGGGCCACCTACTTCTGCCCCTTCAGGAAAGCTGCCTCCTTCTCAAGCCTCCGTTTCCCCATCTGTAAAAGGGTTTAGAGTTTCTCCCTACTTCTTGGGCTTTAATGATGAGATAATATTTCTAAAGCAGACAACACCATGAGGCAAATATAAGCCATCCATACTTATTACTAAGAAAGAACCAGCCCTGGCTGGTTTGGCTTGGCAATTAGAGCCTTGGACCGTGGACCAAAGGGTCTCGTGTTTGATTCCTGGTCAAGGGCATGTACCTGGGTTGCAGGTTCGATCCCTGACCCTGAGGTCGTGTGGGAGGCAACTGATTCATCAATGTTTCTCTCTCTCTCTCCCTCCCTCCCTTCCACTCTATCTAAAAATCAATGGAAAAATATCCTCAGGTGAGGATTAACAATAACAAAAAGAAAGAGCCAAGGGTTTTGAGTTTCTCTTCAGCCAGTTCTTTGCAGCGTATGTAGCTGGCGCCTTCCAGGCGCTTCATGCATATAAAGTCATGGGCCCAGGGCTGACACTCAGTTACACTTGAATTCTGGATAGAAAATTAATAATTTTTAAAAGTATAAGTATATACAAAATACTGCATGGGATATACTTATAAACAAAATATGCATTGCTGATCTACTAGGGCTCCTCATGCAAAATGTGGGGTCTGTGACTCCCATCTTATGAATGGGGAAACTGAAGCTCAGAGAGGTTAGGTGACTTTCCTGGGGTCACCAGGGCCAGTGTCAGGCCCTTGGCCTTACCCGGTCGGCCTGGCACTGGCGGAAGCTGGCATTGATCTGGTCCAGGTCTCGGCGGGTGTTCTGCAGCGTCTGCATAATGGAATTCCTGGCATGGGTGGTGAGGTTGAGCTCCTTGGACAGATTGGCCTGGCTGGCCAAGAGCCCCACAACCTGGTTGTACAGGCCGTCAGCCCGGCGCTCGGTGGCCTGCAGGTTGGACTCAGTGCTCACGTGCACGTTGCCGTAGACCATGAAGAGGACCAGGCCCAGGATGATGAGAAACTGGATAAGCGAGACAAAGAGGAAGAAGTAGCGCAGGTAATACCAGCAACCCTGAGGGCTGGCCCCAGCTCTTGAATAGGGCGCTCCGTGCTCCATCGCCAGACCCATCTCCTCCCTGGGTTGCTGCCCAGTGCACTGGCGCTGCTCAGCTGGCTGGTCTGCTCTGGGTGGTGGCTGTGCCCCTTCTGGATCCTGCCGCCCACAGGGGGGAGTGTTTATATTACTCGTCTTAATACTTCCTCTGCCTGGCTCCTTCCTGGCCAGGAGGAAACAGGGAGCGGTGGGTTATCTCAACACTCCCACCCAAGCTGTGAAGGGAAGGTGGGGCGTGGGGGTGGTAGGGCAGAGACCAAGCCCTGGCTGGCCTTTCTGATTAACACTCTATGGGGCACCAGCTGGGTGCCTGGGTTTTCTTAGTCTCTCTGAGCCTCAGTTTCTCCGCACTTGCAGCATATTAGCTCAGGTCATTGTCCCCATCGTGTGGAGGAGGAAAACTGAGGCACAGGGAGGAGAAGGACCACCCCTGGGTCTTAAGCTGTTAGTTCACTGAGCTAGGCTTACCTCCCAGCGGGCTGACTACAGACGAGTGCCCACCTCACAGGGCAGTGACAATTAAATGAGCTAAATTGAGCTAAGGTTCACAGAGGGCTGATCTATGGATGGTGGCGGCAAGGACTCCCCAAGTTGTCATCCTACCCAATCCCAGCTCACATAGGTGCTTAATAAGTGCTCCAGAATTGGCGGCACAAGCAGCAATGAAGTTGGAGCCAGGGAGAGCCAGCTTGGCTTGAGTTCATGGGAGGGGCCTCTCCTGTCTCTGCCTCAGCTACCCCCTCTGTGAGATGGGTACGCATGATGCCCAATCACAGAGCTATGTGAGGAAGCTGTTGTTATCATTACTATCATTTCCTGCTAGAAGCATTATTTTCGGGTTTGTGAGATGGTGAACAGGAAGTGCCAGATACGTGGGAGCTGAGCCTCACTGGGGGTCACCCCCAGGTGGGCATGCAGGGGATTTTGGAACCAAGGATATAACGATTCTGGGTACGCCCTCCTGCCTGTCACCCCAGAACCGGGAGTCCCAGGGAAACACTCCATGCCAAGAGGCATCAGCCCCAGCCCCAGCTCCAGCTGGGAGGGGCCCTCAGGCTTAAGGGGACAGAGTGGGACGCAGCCCCTAGCCCCATGGGGTCAAGGGTGGCAGGAAGGAGGGATGGGGTCAGGGGGAAAGAGATAAGGAGATGAAAAGAAGGCTGGACCCTGGGTGGGTGACACTAACACAAATGCTGTCCACTGCCTGGTGGGGGCACAGTAGGGTGAAGGCTGCTGGGGAACCCATCCCCCCATTAGCCACTGTAACGAAGTGGGGGTTGTTGGCAGAGGGGAGGGGTACTCCAGGGTGGTGTTCATCAAGAAGGCAGGAGCTGTGTTGGGAAGGAGGAAGTTCCCAGGGGTAGTCAGGAAACCCCTGTCTGACCTCTGGTCCTCACAGCTACCGGGTGATTCCTGGTTCCCAGACCCTTCCCAGCTGGTTAGTGAAGGGAGGAGGGTTGGGGGCTGCAAGTGGTGCCCAACCAGTTATTCCTCTGGGTTGGCCAGGGCCACACAGAGTCCCCCACCCCTGCCCGCACCCCCAGAGGGTGGGAGAAGGACATCTCCATCTTCCCTAATGGAGGCCACATAGGCAGAGTGACTTCAAGGTTACAATTTAGAGCTCCGGAGTTAAGTTCTGGCTGTGCCACTTACCAGTGTGTGACCTCAGGCCCGCGACTTCCTTCTTGAGCCTCAGTTTTCTCCTGTCTAAAATAAAGGCAACATCCAGTTGTGAACCTCTGGTTACAGTCCTCGCACACATTCAGCTTTAATTTTATTTTAAAATATGTTTTTATTGATTTTTTAGAGAGAGACGAAGGGAGAGAGAGATAAAAACATCCATGTGAGGGAGAAACATCGATCGGCTGCCTCCTGCACGCCTGCAACCTGGGCATGTGCCCTGACTGGGAACTGAACTGGGACCGTTCCGTCCATGGGGTGATGCTTAATCCACTGAGAGCCACACCAGCAGGGCTAAATGTTGGTTTTTGTTTTGTTTTTTAATTCTCACCCGAAGAAATTTTTACATGTGTCTTCAGACAGAGTGGGAAGGAGAGAGAGAGAAAGAGAAACATTGATGTGAGAGAGACACATAGACTGGCTGCCTCCCGCACAACCCAACCAGGGCCAGGGACCGAATCGCAACCGAGGTACGTGCCCTTGACCGGAATCGAACCTGTGACACTTTGGTCCACAGGCCAATGCTCTAACTGCTGAGCCAAACTAGCCAGGGCAATGGTGGTATTTTTTTAGGTGGGAGGGGATGAACCGTGCAGTCTCTGCTGCCAGGTTGAGGAACTGAGACACGGGGGGAGCACTGCCTCCGGAAGCTGGTGTCCCAGGCCTGGGGCAACACAAGGGAGAGGGGGCATGACTGGGGGAGAGCCTGAGTGCCCAGGGTCCAGTGGAGGAATTCAGGCATGGAGGCAGTGCCTGGGCCCATGTCAAGAGGCGGGAGTATGTTGGTGTGTAGTTAAGATCTTGGCTATTCATGATATATTGAAGGTGTGTGTATATGTATATATGAGCATGATGTCTGTTGTAAAGGAAAAAGGCAACCAAAAACCTCAAAAAAAGTAAAAAGCCACCTAAACATGATGGTGCCAATGTGTTACAATTTTGAGCAATTGTTACAATGTCAGAATGAGAGTTTTTTTTTTTTTTAATGAGGAAGAGAGAGAGGGAAACATCAATGTGAGAGAGACACATCGAGTGGTTGCCACCTACATGACCCCAAACTGCAACCGAGGCATGTGCCATTAGCAGAAACCAAACCAGAGACAGAATGAGAGTTTTAAATATACACACTAATGTCTTTGTATCAAGATAAAAAATAATTTGTTTCTTTTGGGAAATTTGATCTCACATCTTTGATTTGTAATGTTTCTTTTCTTCTTCTTTTTTTAATCCTCACCCGAGGACATTTTCCCATATTTTGTTCAAATAGAGTGGGAGGGAGAGAGAGAGAGAAAAACATCGACGTGAAAGGGATATATTGAGTGGTTGCCACCCGCACAACCCAACCAGGGCCAGGGACAAACTGCAACCGAGATATGTGCCCTTAGCGGGAACCGAACCCAGGTCTCTCTGGACCGCAGGCCGACGCTCTAACCACTGAGCCAAACCAGCCAGGGTTGTAAAGTATCTTTTTAATAGCTTGTTTTAATAGCTAGATTTTTAAAAGGTAGTCAATATTTCTCAAATTTTAATAAAATCCCCTATATACACATTTATTTGCTACTAAAAATGGAAATAACACATAAAAAATAATGTTCAAAATTTTAAACACCAGAGAATCTAGTTAATTCACTCTGAGTTAATTATGCTCTAGCAAAAGTACTGAGTGTTTTCTTTTTTACATTCCTTCCACACGAGTTACTTGCTTCTAATACTTGATGTTGAGTTTCATCTTACTGGCTTCAGGATTCTGAAACACACCAGCAATACTTCAGACTCAGTGCTTCTTTAGGTCAAATAAAAAAGTGGAGCTGAAGTCTATTGAAATCATTCAAATACAGACTACATAGATTCCTTATAAGTTACTGGTATCAAGGCAGGCAAGAAAGAGGATGAATTTTTAAAAAAGACAGCCCTGGCCCGTTTGGCTCAGCGGTTGGAGCGTTGGCCTGTGATCCAGAGAGACCTGGGTTCGGTTCCCGCTGAGGGCGCATGCCTCGGTCGCGGTTTGTCCATGGCTCTGCTTGGTTGTGTGGGTGGCAGCCACTTGATGTGTCCCTTTCCCATCGATGTTTTTCTCTCTCTCTGTTCCTCTCTCTCCTTCCCACTCTACCTGAGCAAAAAATGGAAAAATGTCCTTGGGTGAGGATAAAAAAAAAAAAATTGGTGTACAGTTTGTACTAGCAGGGAAAAAAAAAGTAACCCTGGCCAGTTTTCTCAGTGGTTAGAGCATTGATCCACGAACCAAAGAGTCCCGGCTCTGATGCCAGCCAAGGGCACGTATCTTGGTTGCGGATAGTCCCGGCCATGGCAACTAGGCAATGTGTCTCTCTCGGATCGATGTTTCTCTCTCTCTCACTCTTCCTCTCACTCTGTCTGAAGATACATGTAAAAAGATCCTCGGCTGAGGATTTTAAAAAAACAAACAAAACAAAACAACAACAAAACCCAAATAATTTTTTTAAAAAAAGAAAAAATACAAGAGTAAGGGTTACGGCTAAATCGACCCCATGTCATGATTATTCTCCGTGCTAATGTTATCAGAAGGGTCTCCATGATGTAGGCAGTAACGACAGCTGCATCGAAATCTTCTGAATCTCAATTCAATCCCAGTGTTCCTCTCCTGGGGGTCTTTTCCAAGATATTATAGGTTGCAATATTTAATAACCTATAATATCTTTTGCATCCTTCCTTTCCAAGCAGGTGCCAATGTCCTTACTGCACACTTCTTCCTGCAGAGTATGCCTTGACCCAGCGCTAGTTTAAGCTCCTGAAAGTAGCACAGGTCAATCATAACAAAAAAACCAAAAAGGCTGGTTTCATGCAAGAGGGGAGCAGTAATTGTATCCATTCCTTTCTCTGGGACCCTGATTAATTTGCAAAAGAATTTTATTTATTGTTAAAGAATATAGTGCTGGAGATTCTGACCCATTCCAATTAATAGACCTACTGGTTTCAAGCAAGGCAACAGAATTGCTGAATGAGTTCTGCGAAACTATAGCGTTGCAGAAAGCCAGGTCGCCTGAAAAAGGATTCTAGAAAACCAAAATTGGACTTAGAAAAGAAACCGAAAGCAAGAATAGAGTTGCTCCGAGGGCTTTCTCCCCTCCTCACTAATAGTCTGGGAGAAATTGAAATTATCAAAAAAGGAAAGCCACTAAGGCCCCTACAGATGACCTAGGGCTGAACCCAGTCAGGCAGAAAACACAAGCTTTAAAATGTATAGCTGGCCAGTTTGGCTTAGCAGTCAGAGCATCGGCCTGCAGACCAAAGAGTCTCGGGTTTGATTCTGGTAAAGGACACGTACCTCGGTTGTGGTTTGTCCCCAGCCCTGATTGGGTCATGCGGGAGGCAACAAGTCGATGTGTCCCTATCACAGCGATGTTCTCTCTCTCTCTCCCCCTCCCACTCTGAGAAAAGAATGGAAAAATGTCCTTGGGTGAGGATTAAAATATAATAATAAAAATAAAGTACTAATTAAAAAAAAAGTTCTCTGTATCTATAAGTCTGTTTCTGTTCTGCTTGCTCATTTTGTTTGTAGATTCAGTGTTGATAGATAGGTATTAATTTCCATCTTATTGTTCATATTTTTAAAATTTTTCTTCTTCAAGAAGACCAGTTAACATTTCATGTAATACTTGTTTGGTGGTGATGAAGTCTTTCAGCTTTTTCTTTGTTTTTTATTTTTTTCCATCCTCACCAGAAGACATTTTTCCATTTTTTGTTGAGATAGAGTGGGAGGCAGAGAGAGGAAAAGAGAGAGAGAGACAGACAGAGAGACAGAGACATTAACATAGAGGGGACACATCGAGTGGCTGCCTCCCACATGACCCAACCAAGGCCAGGGACAAACTGCAACCAAGGCACGTGGCCCCAGTGGGAATTGAACCCAGGTCTCTCTGGACAGCAGGCCAACGCTCTAACAGCTGAGCCAAACCAGCCAAGACAAACTCTTTCAGCTTTTTCTTGTCTGGGAAGCTCTTTATATGTCCTTCAAGTTCAAATGGTAGCTTTGCAGGATAAAGTAATCTTGATTGTAGGTCCTTGCTTTTCATCACTTTAAATATTTCTTGCCATTTGTTCCTGGCCTGCAAAATTTCTCTTGAGAAATCTTTTGACAGCCTTATGAGAGCTCCATTGTAGGTAACTAACTGCTTTTCTCTTGCTGATTTTAAGATTCTCTCTTTGTCTTTAACCTTTGGCATTTTGATGATGATATGTCTTGGTGTGGGCCTCTCGGAGTTCATCTTGTTTGGGACTCTCTGTGCTTCCTGGACTTGTATGTCTGTTTCCTTCACCAAATTAGGGAAGTTTTCTTTCACTATTGTTTCAAATAGATCTTCAATTTCTTGCTCTCTCTCTTCTTCTTCTGGCACCCCCATGATTCAAATGTTGGTACGCTTGAAGTTGTCCCAGAGGCTTCTTATACTGTCCTCATATTTTTAGATTGTTTTTCTTTTGCTGTTCTGATTGGGTGTTTTTTGCTTCCTTACATTCCAAATCGATGGTTTGCTTCTTGCCTTTACCTACTCTACTATTGAATCTGTGTTAATTATTCTTTATTTCAGTTAGTTCCTCCTTCATTTCTGACTGATCCTTTTTTATGCTCTTGAGGCCCTCACTAGGTTCATTGAGCATCCTTATAAGCAGTGTTTTGAACTCTGCATCTGTTAGATTGCAAATCTCCATTTCGCTTAGTGCTTTTCCTGGAGTTTTGTTCCGTTCTTTCATTTGGGACATTTTTCTTTGTCTCCTCATTTTGGCTGCCTCCCTGTGTTTGTTTTTATGTATCAGGTAGAGTTTCTCTGTCTCCTAGGCTTCCTAGGGAGGTCTGTTGTAGTAGGTGTCCTGTAGGGTCCAGTAGCACAGCCCCCCTGGTGACCCTAGCTGGGCCCTGCAGGTGCACCCCTCATGTGGACTTTATACCCTTCTGTCATTATAGAGTCTTGATTGCTGTTGGCACATCAATGGGAGGGTTTTACTCAGGCTGATGAGCTGCAAGGACTGGCTGTGACCACTGACCACCAAACTCTGACTACCTTGGATGATCAACTGTGCAGGGGCCCACCACACAGAGCAAGACTTACTTCAGTAGTGCTGTGGTACCCCCTGAGTCCATTCCTTGAGTGTGTCACTTGTGGAGGTGGTTTGGTGGTGGTGGTGCTTCGACACGATCTGAAGCTGTCCACTGGGAGTACTGGCTTTGGGACAAGGTCAGCCACTGCCTGTGTTCTACTCAGGGCCACCAGGCATAAGCTACAAAGCAATCTGCAGATGGCTGCTTCTTCTACTGGGCTTGTAGGTGCCCAGGCAAAGCCAAGCTGTGAACCAAGGCCGGCTGCTTCTAGTGCCAGACCTGGGACCACATAGCAAGAGGTATGGGGCTCGCTGTAGCCAGATGCTGCTTGTCTGGAGGATTTAGGAAATCTGAAGTAAGAGCTAAAGCAGGCCAATCCTATGGTAAAGCCACTGGAAACAGCTTGGGTGGGGCTGAAAGCTGGGTGGGGCGGGGCCTCAGGGAATCACCAGGGCGGGGCAATCAGTGTGAGCCAGGTTGCTGGAGTCCCAGATATGGTGGCGTCTGCCTGCCCTGTAGGGAAAGGCTCATCAAAGGAACAGCCTCCACCAGCAGGCCTGTCTGGGAGAAAGCTGTCTCCCCAGTCTTCGCCCTAACGCCAAACAACTCAGTTCTTCCCCATATGTCTTTGGTGCCTTTCCAGCTGCCTCCCCTCCATGCTGAAGCTTAGAGGGAGAAGGTCTGAGTAAGTTGCGCACGGGCCCTTTAGGAGGAGCTGCCTGGGGCTCCAGAGCCTCAGCCTCCCTCAGCCTCAGTTCCCGCTGGTTTTTCCAGCCAGAAGTTATGGGGACTTCTTTTCTTGGCACTGGAACCCTGAGCTGGGCACCTGGTGTGGGACGGGGACCCCTCACTCCTAAGGGAGGACCTTCACAGTTGAGGTGTCCCTCCTGATTTTTATTCTCCACACATGGGTGTGGGACTGGCCTGTCCGCATCTCCACCCCTCCTACCAGTCTCAATGTGGCTGCTTCTTTAATTTTGTAGTTGTAGGACTTCCATTCAGCTTGATTTCAGGTGGTTCTGAAGGCTGTATGTTCTATAGTTTAGTTGTAATTTTGATGTGGTTGTGGGAGGAAGTGAGTACCGCATTTCTCTTTCTTTTTTTTTTAATCCTCACCCAAGGATATTCTTCCATCCATCATCAGATAGAGTGGGAGGGAGGGAGAGAGAGAGAAACATTGATGTGAGAGAGATACACTGACTGGTTGCCTTGATCAGGGCTGAGGACGAACCACAATGGAGGTCTGTGTCCTTGACCAGAATTGAACTTGAGACTTATCAGTCTGCAGGCTGATGCTCTAACTGCTGAGCCAAACCGGTCAGGGTGGGAGTCTGTCTATCTTTCAAATAAACTTTCTCTTGCTTACCCTTGGTTCATAAACTCATTCTGCGATTTTGAGAGACAATAAACCCGCTCACTACGGCTTGGTTTCACTAGTACTTCTGAGACAGATTGAAAGGCGGTTGAATCTTCATAACTGGGCATCTGAGAAGACTCTGGGGTTGCATTTGAGTCAAGCTTCTTTGGTAAGTCCATTGGAAGTCGAGAAGCTCCTTCTAGATGCCTCAAAGGTTGGAGCAGAATGTGATACTCAAAACTCAAATTGCTACAAAGTAGTTTGGAAAGAACCATATACCCCAGAAATAGTGAGAAAAACCCAAAATCCAACAGAAGAGCTAACCTCAGCTAAGCGACATAAAGGTGTTTGGGTGCTGCCCATCCCTAGTAAATAAGATGAGGTGCAAGAATGCCTGTCCCCTGGGTTGAGAGGAAGCCCCTTTCAGCCCAGATAGAAGAGTGAGAGAGGCACATCGACTGGCCGCCCCCCACATGACCCCAACCAGGGCGAGGTACGTGCCTTAGCAGGAACCGAACCTGGGACTCTGTGGTCTGCAGGCCAATGCACTAACCGCTGAGGCAAACCAGCCAGGGCTAGAAGGCATATTTAGAGTCAGTGTAAACCTGGCTGGTTTGGCTCAGCGGTTAGAGCATCAGCCCATGGACCAGAGAGTCCCGGGTTCGGTGTCTGCTAAGGCACATACTTCGCCCCGGTTGGGGTCGTGTGGGAGGTAACCACTCGATGTGTCTCTCTCACATCGATGTTTCTCTCTCTCTCTTCCTTTCTCTCTCTCTCCAGCTCTAACTGAATATAAATGCAAAAATGTCCTTGGGTGAAGATAAAAAAAAAATTTTTAGAGTCAGTATAGATGTTCGCTCTCTGGTTCTATGCTAGGGTTAGAGCTCTGATTAAGGCGATTAGTTCTGCTTTTTGAGAGGTTGTGCCTCGTGGAAGGGGACTGGCTTGAATATCCTCTTCAGGCTCCAGGGTTACAACTGTATAACAAGCATAGGAGGCACCCTGCTTACTGTAGGCGCTGCCATCAATGAACCATGTATGATCTGCCTTTGGAAGAGAGCTATCCTTGATATGGGGAAAGGGAGATAAACAGAAGTCTAAAGTTTCTAAACAGCAATGTGTCTCTTTTTTTCTTCCTTTAGATGGTAAAGGAAGTAAAGTCGCTGGATTAAGGGGAGAGGTAGATGCTACTGAGACCTGAGGCATTTGGAGAAAAAGGGTGTGTAGCTGCTGAATGCGAGAAGGTGACAATAAATTTTGTAAATGTCGCTGAGATAGCATATCCTTTAAATTATGAGAAGGATGGACAGTGACTGGGCTATTAAAGATAATCTTTAGGCTCTCTAGAGTGAGGACTGCCGCTGCTAAAGCCCTAAGGCATGGGGGCCATCCCAGAACAGTATTATCTAGCTGTTTGGAAAGGCATGCTACAGACTGGAGGGTGGGCCCCTAAAACTGCCCTAGGGGTCCAACTGTCACTCCTTGTCTTTCATCTATGTATAAAATAAATGGCTTGGTTAAGTCTGGCAGAGTGAGGGCAGGAGCCTGAGTAAGGGCTTGCTGTAATTTCTGAAAAGGAGCCTTAATGGGAGTGACAAGATTTAAGGGGTCATCAAGACTCCCTTTGGCGGCCCAAAAGAGAGGTTTAGCTAAAAGTGCGGAAATTAGGAACCCACAGCCTGAGTAACCCGCTAAGTCTGAGAATGAAAGAAGCTCTTGTTTAGTCTCCAGGACTGGGGTTTCAGAGATGAGGGAATTCGGCCTGCAGGGATACCCCTGGAATGGGAGTAAGAGTGAGCCCTAAGTAGGTTACGTGAGTTGTAAGTTGGGCTTTTTTTAGGGGAAACCCGGTACCCTTTTTCTGCAAGGAAATTCAATACAGGCGGTATGATTTTCAGAATCCTCTCTGGTGGGACTACAAAGGAGGTCATCTACATACTGAAGAAGAATGGACCCTTTTATGTCTAATTGCTGCAAGTCACTGGCTATGGCCTGCCCAAAGAGGTGGAGACTGCCCCGAAATCCTTGAAGAATGGTCCAGGTTAGCTGTTGGGACTGCCCAGTGTCTGGGTCAGTCCAGGTGAAAGCAAAAAGGTTTTGAGAACCTGGATGTAAGGGAATAGTAAAAAAGGCATTTTTTTAAAAAAAAAATCTTTATTGTTGAATGTAGAATGTATTATAGATGTTCCTCATTTTTCCCCCATTGACCCCCTCCTTCCCACTCCCGCCCCCCTCCTGCCTTTTCCCACACTATTGTCTGTGTCCGTTGGTTATGCATATAAGTTTTTTGGTTTATTTCCCCGCCCCCCCCCAACTCCTTTCCCTTTGAGGTTTGTCAGTCTAGCAATGAATTTGTACTTCTTAATCCCTTCACCTTTTTCACCCATTCTCCCAACCCCCTCCCATCTGGCAACCAACAAAATGTTCTCTGTATCTATGAGAATGTTTCTGATCTACCTGTTCATTTTGTTGTAGATTCCATTGTTGATAGATATGTATTCATTGCCATTTTGTTTGTTCATATATTTTATCTTTTTCTTCAAAAAGACCCTTCATCATTTCATATAATAACGGTTTGGTGGTGATGAACTCCTTTAACTTTTTCTTGTCTGGGAAACTCTTTATATGGCCGATTCTAAATGACAGCTTTGCAGGATAGAGTAATCTTGGTTGTAGGTTCTTGCTTTTCATCACTCTGAATATTTCTTGCCACTCCCTTCTGGCCTGCAAAGTTTCTTTTGAGAAATCAGCTGACAACCTTATGGGTAACTCCCTTGTAGGTAACCAGCTGCCTTTCTCTTGCTGCTTTTAAGATTCTCTCTTTGTCTTTAACCTTTGGCATTTTGATGATGATGTGTCTTGGTGTGGGCCTCTTGGGGTTCATCATGTTTGGGACTCTCTGTGCTTCCTGGACTTATATGTCTGTTTCCTTCACCAAGTTAGGAAAGTTTTCTGCCATTATTGTTTCAAACAGGTTTTCAATTTCTTGTTCTCTCTCTTCTCCTTCTGGCACCCCCAAGATGCGAATGTTGGCATGCTTGAAGTTGTCCCAGAGGCTCCTTACACTATCCTCATTTTTTGGGGTTCTTTTTTCTTTTTGCTATTCTGATTGGGTGTTTTTTGCTTCCTTATATTCCAAATCGATGGTTTGCTTCTTGGATTTACGTACTCTAGTATTGAAGCTGTGTAAATTATTCTTTATTTCAGTTAATGCCTCTTTCAATTCTGACTGGTCCTTTTTTATGCTCTTGAGGCCCTCACTAAGTTCACTGAGGTTCTCACTGAGTTCACTGAGTATCCTTATAAGCAATATTTTGAACTCAGCATCTGTTAAGTTGCTTACCTCCATTTCGCTTAGTTCTTTTCTTGGGGTTTTGTTCTGTTCTTTCATTTGGGACCTGTTTCTTTGTCTCCTCATTTTGGCTGCCTCCCTGTGTTTGTTTCTGTGTACTGTATTACTTAACGAGCGGTATAGGGCTAGCTGAGACCAGATGCTGCTCGTTGGAAAGAATTTAGGAAAAACCTGAAGCAGGATCCAAGATGGGCCAATCCTATGGTTAAGCAACTGGCAACAGCTTGGGTGGGCCTGAAAGTTGGGTGGGGTGGGGCGGGGCCTCAGGTAGTCACCAGGGCGGGGCTACCAGTGTGAGCCAGGTTGCTGGAGTCCCAGATATGGTGGCTGTCTGCCGCCCCAGGGAAGGGCTCACCAAAGGAACAAAGGCCTCTGGCAGCACATTTGTCCCGGAGAAAGCTCCCTCTCCAGTCCTCGCTCCAGTGCCAAACAGCTCAGTTCTTCCCTGTATGTCTCTGGCGCCCCTCGAGCTGACTCCCCTCCAAGCTTAGAGGGAGTGAGTCCGTGTGCGGGCCCTTTAAGGAGCTGCCTGGGGCTCCAGCCGCGTCAGCTTCCCTGAGCCTCAGTTCCTGCTGGTTTTTCCAGCCAGAAGTTATGGGCACTTCTCTTCCTGGCACTGGAACCCTGAGGGGGCATCTGGTGTGGGATGGGGACCCCTCAGTCCTCAGGAAGGACCTTCCCAGCCGAGGTGTCCTCCTGATTTTTATCCACCACACGTGGGTGTGAGACCAGCCCGTCTCGCCTCCGCCCCTCCTACCAGTCTGGATGTGGCTGCTGCTTTAATTCCATAGTTGTAGGACTTCCATTCAGCTTGATTTCAGGCAGTTTTGTTCTGTAGTTTAGTTGTAACTTTGATGTGGTTGTGGGAAGAAGCGATACCACGTTTACCTACGCCGCCATCTTGACCGGAAGTCAAAAAAGGCATCTTTAAGGTCTAGGACCGTAAAGAACTGTGTGTTAGCCGGGGTTTGAGAGAGGAGGGTATATGGGTTAGGAACAACTGGGTGTATTGGTTGTACGGCCTGATTTATGATGTGGAGGTCCTGTACCCGACGGTAAGATCCATCGGGCTTTTGCACAGGCAAAATGGGAGGATTATAGGGAGATTTGGTAGGGCAGAATAATTTTTCTTTAGGAGTCAAGTTAAGACAGATTTTAGTTCTTTTTGGGCTTCTGGGGGGATAAGGTATTGTTTCTGGGACAGGAAAAATGAGCGATCTTTGAGAGATATTTTGATCGGCATATGGTGCTTAGCTACAGAAGGGAGGGATGTGTCCCACACTATGGGGTTAACTAGTTCTGGTGGTAATGGTAGGGGGTTATATTAGAAGAGGAAGTAGCTCTGGCTGGTTTGACTCAACGGTTAGAGCATCGGCCTGTGGTCCGGAGAGACCTGGGTTCGGTTCCCGCTAAGGGCATGTACCTCGGTTGCAGTTTGTCCCCAGCCCTGGTTGGGTCGTGCTGGAGGCAGCCACTCCATGTGTCCCTTTCACATCGATGTTTCTCTCTCTCTCTTCCTCTCCCTCCCGCTCGGTCTGAACAACAACAAAATGGAAAAATGTCCTCGGGTGAGGATAAAATAAAATAAAATAAAATAAAAGAGTGGAGAAAGATCTAAGGGCCTAAAGAACAAGTGAGTGTCTGGTTGCCCTGGGTTGTGATATTTGGCTGTCAATTCCCACAACTGAAACCCCAGAGCATCGAAGAGGTCCTCTGAACTCGGGCAGGGCAGAGTAGGTTGCCCTGGTATCAGTTAAAAATGAAATTGACCTACCTGCTGCCATCAGAGTTACCCGAGGTTTGGAGTTTGAGATGACGGTCAGGGTGCCCGTTCCTGGGCATCTTCAGTGTTCAGCTGCAAGGCCAATCAGATTAAGACCTGGATTGCCTGATCCACCAGCCCGAGGAAGGGAGCAGGACGGTCTCTGCATAGTCTGTTCGCAGTCCGACTTCCTCAGTCTGTCCACATTGAGGACATGGCTTAGGTGGTGGTCGGGGATTGGGGCATTGCCTCACCCAACAGCCAGTCTGATTGCATTTATTTATTTATTTATTTATTTTTGTTTTGTTTTGGTTTATCTTTATTCTTTTTATTTTAATCCTCATCAGAGGACATTTTTCCATATTTTGTTCAAATAGAGTGGGAGGGAGAGAGGGAGTGTAAAGGACAAACATATGCTATGTGAATATACAAAAAGATTTTTCCCATTAGGCAGACCTCACTCCCTGGACTTTAAGAATAGCAAGAACTAGCAGCCAGAGTTAATAGTTAACCATTATATTGTGTAGGTAATAACTGCAATTGTACAGACCCGAAACTGCTTGCTCCCTCAGGCATTAACAGCTAACCTCAGATATCTGCTTCTGTACATGCTTGCTTGCTCGCAAACCTTCAGCCCAATTCCTTAACAGGAGCTAAGACAACTATATAAGCAACCCTCCCCTGAGCTCGGGGCTACTCTCTCCTCTGCGTAGGATGGGACAGTCGCCGCGCGGCTAATCAAGTTCTCTTAATTTGAACCCAGTTTGGAGTCTGAGTCTCATTGGTCTACAACAAGAGAGAGAAACATCGATGTGAAAGGGACACATTGCGTGGCTGCCACCCACACTACCCAACCAGGGCCGGGGACAAACTGCAACTGAGGTACATGCCCTTAGTGGGAACCGAACCCGGGTCTCTCTGGACCTCGGGCCAACGCTCTAACCGCTGAGCCAAACCGGCCAGGGCTTATCTTTATTCTTGAATGTATTACAGTTGTCTCCCCCTTTTTTCCCCATTGACCCTTCCCCCCAATCCCTCTCCACTTCTGCCTTCTCCACACTATTGTCGGTGTCCATTGGTTATGCATATATGCATAGAATTTCTTTGGTTTATCTCATCTCACCCTCCCTCCCGCCTTCCCTTTGAGATTCATCAGTCTAACAACAAATTTGTACTTTTTAATTCCTTCTTTTTCACCCATCCCCCTAACCCCTGCCCATCTGACCAGCAACAAAAAGTTCTCTGTGTCTGTCTATGAGTCTGTTTCTGTTCTGCTTGCTCATTTTGTTTGTAGATTCAATTGTTGATAGATATGTATTTTGCCATTTTATTGTTCATATTTTTGTTCTTCTTCTCCATCAAGAAGACCCTTCAACATTTCATATAATACTGGTGGTGATGAACTCCTTTAGCTTTTTCTTGTCTGGGAAACTTTTGATATGTCCATCAATTCTAAATGCTTTGCAGGATAGAGTAATCTCGGTTGTAGGTCATTGCTTTTCATCACCTTGAATATCTCTTGTCACTCCTTTCTGGCCTGCAAAGTTTCTTTTGAGAAATCGGCTGACAGTCTTATAGGAGCTCCTTTGTAGGTCAGTCTGATTGCATTTAAAGCAGGGACTGGGGGGTCCACTCTCCTGATTCTGGTGGGCGCCCTTCTGTCCCCCGAAGGGGTTTGCTGACCCCTTTGATTAGTGGGACCTCTGATGGCAGAGGCAAGCATTTGGAATTCTGCTATTCTTTGCTGTTTAGCCTCTTCATCACAATTATTAAAAACCTTAAAGGCGCCCTGGCCAGTTTGGCTCAGCGGTTAGAGCATCGGCCTGTGGTCCAGAGAGACCCGGGTTCGGTTCCCGCTAAGGGCACATACCTTGGTTGCAGTTTGTCCCCAGCCCTGGCTGGATCATGTGGGTGGCAGCCACTCGATGTGTCCCTTTCACGTTGATGTTTCTCTCTTTCTCTCTCCCTCCCACTCTATCTCAACAAAATATCGAAAAATGTCCTCGGGTGAGG